TTTTTTTTTTTTTTTTTTTTTTTTTTTTCTGAATGGATCTAGTTACTGCTGCTTTTGTGAGATTCAAGCTACTCTAGGTCAAGTATTTTGAAACTGTAAAGAATTGTAAGCAGTCAGAAGTGACTATTGAGCAAATTTTAAGAGTCGGACTCCAAATTTAAGTCGGCTGTATAAATTACTGCAGGAAAAGATGACATCAAGTCTTCACAATGCTGGTCATTTTTCTCACCCAATAGCTTAATCATTATCAATTTTCTTATCTTGTGCAGGTCCCATAGAGAGAAACGTTATTCTTTTGCACCTCAAGAAGGTTATGATTGGATTTACAGGATTGAAAAGTGTTGGTGCAAGAATGGAGCTCAGGTAGAAATTGCAAAAGAATTTTGCAAGTCTTGTTATTAAACACGTCCTCTGAATGCGATGTCTTGATTTTTATCCTGAAATTTGATAGGTGTGGCTGCACTCTTTTTCAACACCATTAAATACAAATGCTTCAGATGCATTGCACAGCTTAGCGGATGATGCCTTGGTTAGTCACGTTTCTTTTTTTGCTTCGTCTTCTTTACATTTTTCCTTTTTTTTTCCCTTCTGTGAAAATTGTTATGGGTATGATGGTGTGCACTTCATAACTTAAACAGCATATGGTCCACTAGTCTTGTCTATGATAATGATTTGCAAATGGCATTCTAATGTGTCATGGTTCAGAAACAATGACTCGTTATACCAATTTTATTGATGAAGCTTTTTCCTCCAATGAGATTGATCTATGCACATCAAATTCTAAATTTGATATTCCCCTCTGGTTAGGTTATGTTGCATTACAGCAAGGTTTATTTACATTTAATGAGAAGACTGCCTATGATCATTATTTTTGAATTTTTATATAAAAGTTTGAATTCTCCTTTAAGTCATTTAGTATTTCTAAAACCTATGTTTGTGTAAATTTTAGATGTAAGTTGCATTCAGGCAATGCGTTTATGGCGTAATAGTATTTCAGAGATAAACGATGAGTTATACAATGGTTACAATAGAGGGAATTCAGGAGGGC